GTAAGTTCGGAGAACAGTGCTTAGCCTAGAAACTCGTTAAACGGAGGGACTTCCTAGTACGGTTCCGAAGTACTGAGGCTGTCAATCACTGCCAAACCGACTAACTCATGCAAATAAACTCACACGATAATTTGTCACTCAACATTGCGGTACCTGTGCGATCGAGCACGAGCAAAATGTAATGTAATTATGGATTAACCCTTTGCACTCGAGAGGTGACTCGGTCACCACTTGATTTGATACAGCGAAACTGTGAAGTTGAATATTTAGTATTTCAAATGAAACTTTGTATCGCTACAGGAAATATTTAAATAAAATTTGTCCCTTAATTTATATATGAATAATCGTTAAATTAGTTTCAAACAGTGTCGTCTATATCTCGAAGAATGTTAAATACTTCCAGTGAAGAACTTTCGAAAGGGTTAAAAGTAGAATCTACATTACTCCAATGAAAACTCTGTTGACATTAGATTCAATATACTATTCCAATTGCTTCAGTGATAATTCAATATCAGTTCTCGATGTTACTCAATGATCACAGAAGGTAATCAGATTAACCATTACGTTTTAGCAGTCACCGATACCGAGTAATCAAAGTACATTCTACCGAAATTTGTTCTGTCTAATACTCGTTAGGTCTCTTACTTCACTGGGTGCGTCATCCGGTGTACCTAAGAATATCTAAATCGCCTACGATCATTCATGCTCATCGGATCGTCTTAGGCATCCACGTTCACACGCGAATAGAGTAACTACCATGATCTTAATCGCAACGAACACTCGAAGGAGACGAGATTAAAAACATCGGAGGATCAGCTGTCGAACGATCCTGCGGCCGCTACGCTATGCAACGATCGCCGACCGTGAAGCGATCGCAGGCTACAGCGCGTGACGCGCAATGAAAGATTACGCGCCCCCTTTGCGCAACAGCCACGGCTTTTTGACGCGGCTGTACTTTTCTTTTCGATGACTCGTGACCCAAAATTTTCGGTCCGAGGCGTCCGGAGCCGCAGCGGACCGAAAAATCCGCCATGTAGGGCGAACTCCTTCGATTATAGGCGGGCAGCCTCGATCATTATGTCGGGGCGCACGGCAATTCGACTCGGCAAGTGTGTCGCGTGGTCAACGACATTCGTTCGCGGCTCCTACCGCCGTTTTTCTCCTTTTTCCCCCCTTTTTTCGTCGATTTTGCGCCGCTCCTCCGATCCGGCCAGCTCGGCGCCAATTTTTTCCACCTCGGCCGGCTCCTCTGCGATCGATCCGACACGGAACGGAGAATTGGATCGGCAAATACGTTCACCGGAGGCACGGCCGACGATCTCTCCCGGGATCCCGGGTCGTTGCGGCACGCGGCGATTAGCGAGATCCTCCTAATAAGAAGACACCACGACAGCATCCCGCTACTGAAACAGTTATGATGGATCGCAGTTAGAGCGACGGTCCTCCGTTGATGGGCCGGACCTTGACAAAGAAAAGGAAAGCCTCGCGAAGCCAATCGGACGTTCGGTGCATGCGATTTTTGCCCGGAATCCTTGGGAATCGCGGTCGATTCGAGGACGAGAAACCGCTGACTCGGTATTCGCCTAATTTCTTGCCTCTTAAAGGGTTTAACACGATGGTGAGAGGCTCTGGAAAGGATGTCTGCGGAAATTCGACTTTTTTACAGGATAGAAAGATTAGCACTGGCGATCGTTGAAGGTGTCCGTAGTTTTAAAGAAGTCGAGTGACTGGAGGAACTTTCTTGGATATTAAGCGTTAATATCGATAATAGAGTTTCCTTGATGATTCACGTACGAATTACGATGAAAGTCAAAACTAAATTACATTAGATCACAGTTGAATATAGCGGAGAGCTATAAGATAGCCATCGTAATCTCGAAGCTTGTTTTCAGAAATAATTAGAGACTGCACAATCGAAAAAATGGCGTTAATCACGGTACAGGAAGCAGTCCACTTTCATTACGTCATAATTCGATCGTGGACGATCCCGGGTCCGTTGATTACATTAATGAAATTTTACTAAACGACCGATATCACAAGCTCGTGTTCCGCGATGCGAGAAGCTGG